GGTGTAGTCAGGAAGGGAGGCTTCATCTAGGGGAACGGAGTCACTGGGAGATTACCCCATTCCTTGCCAAACTCCATTGGCTCCCTGTCACAAAGCGAATCAACTTCAAGATCTTCATTCTAGTGTTTAAATCCCTCCATTTCTTGCCCCCCCCCCCCCCCCCCCCACCTCTCTAACCTTTCTTCCACACAGCAGTACCTGCTGCCTCCACTCTACTGGGGCCGGCCTCCTCCGTGTCCCCCGAATCCTCCGCTCCACCATCGGCGGCCGTGTCTTCAGCCACTACACCCCGAAGCTTTGGAACTCCCTCCCTCAACCCCTTCACCTCGCCCCCTCCTTCCCCATCTTCAGGTCGCGCCTGAATACCTTCCTTTTTGACCGCGCCTACGATCACCTTCCCCCTCCCCCTGGCTCGTCCTTGGGCTCCACCGCCATTGTTAAGCGCTCTGTGATACTCCCAGCATGGAGGGTGCTATATAAGTGCAAGTTATTGTTGTACGTTATGTAGTGCTTTGCAGTAACAAGGAAGGGTTTGCCAAGGGTTGAATGGTTTGTTTAGAGAGAGTGTAAACTGAGGGACAATTGTCAATCTTGCACAAGGAAGAGTAGCCTCTTTTAGCTAATTGTGGATTAGCACCAATATAAAGAAATAAAGAAATCTCAGGAACAAGCTATACTATTCTATAGAGGAGTCCTATAGTGGAGTCCTGTAGCTCAGTGGTTAGAGCACTCGCTTTGCAAGTGAGAGACCTGAGTTCAATTCCAGGCAGAGGGCGAAACCTTGGGCAAGTTTCCTTACTCCACACACCTAATAATAATCCCTCCAAAACCAAAAACAATAATAAATTGGTCATTTTGAATCCATGACTGTTTGTGGATATTGCTGTGCGCAATTGGCTGCCGCGTTCGCCCACAAATATACAGTCAATTCACTTTACAGTGTGTTCTGTGAAGCGCTTTGGGACGTCTTCCCGACGTGAAAAGCGCTATATCAAATGCAAGGATTATTATTATTATTATTATTATAGAGGCCAATAATCTCACCTCGTTTTAGCCTGTAAAATCAATTTGTCCTAACATTTACGAGTTAAGATCAGAAAATGGTGGTGAAGTGGGGAGTAAGAAAATCCCATGACACTATCTAAAAAGAGGATAATATTTCACCTGGTGTCCTGAACATCAATCCTCCAGATAAATTAGCTATCTTGCTAAATGATTGCCACCTTTAATTCCCTTGTCCCCCTGAAATCCAGACCATGTGGAGTCCTTTAGCTCAGTGGTTAAAGCATTTACTTTGTAAGTGAAAGACCTGGGTTCGATTCCCGGCAAGGCGTAGAGTTGAGCAAGTTTCCTTACTCAACTCGCCTCTGTTTACCTCGCAGTAAGTAGTAACCCGGTTGTTAGTCGATTGTCGGATTGGTTTTCCAGAGGTAATAATTTCTTCAAAAAAAAATTAAAAATTGGTCACTCAATCCATGACTGTTTGTGGGACACTGCTGTGCGCAATTGGCTAATGCGTTTCACCCATAAAATATAATCAATTCACTTTACAGTATATTCTGTTAAGCACTTTGAGACATCTCTAAGACATGATAAGGGGCTATGTAAAATGCAAGGATTATCTTCAAACCTATCCACTCCCCCTGGTTCAATCATCATCTCTGCTCTCTCAAATCCAAAATCCAACTGCTTGAGCGCAGATGGCACAACACCAGCCTCACGGTTCGCTGCCAGCTGTGGCTCAAGCATCTTCACACCTGCCACACCTCTCACAAGCCTAAACTGTATTCTTACTCACAGGTCATTCTGGGGGCCAAAATCCTATTCTCCATTACCCACCACCTCCTCTGTACATCCCCTCAAGGACCCTCAATCCTAACATCGAATGCTAAGTCCGAAGAGGTATTGGATTTCTTTATCTCCAAAAGGGATAACATCTGCCTGGCTGCCTCCTCCTTCTGCCACCACCTCATTCCTTCTCCATCACCCATTCCTCCTCCCACGACTCCTACCATGGGCTCCAACCTACATTCCTTTGACCCCATCTATCCTTCCTCCCTTTCATCCTGAATCACCCAGATGAAACCCACCACCTGCTGCCTCAACCCCCTCCCTACCCAGCTGCTGGTTGCTCAACTTTCCCTCCTCTGCCCACTGATGCAAGACACCATAAATCAGACCCTCTCCTCAGGCTCAGTCCCACTCCCCCTCAAAACAGTTTTCATCACTCCTCTCCTTAAAAAAAGCACTACTCCCGCTCCCTTCAAGCTCTCACACTACTGACCTATTTCAAACCTGCCATTCCTGGCCAAAGCCCTGAAACACTTTATTGCAAACCGACTTTGCTCACACCTTCCCCTCCACTCCCTACTCGAACCCTTCTAGTTCTGTTGCCACTCGGCCCACAGCACAGAGACAATGCTTGTCAAAGTAACAAATAATGTCCTCTTTCTCTGTAACCAGGGCTTTCTCTGCCTCCTCATCCTCCCATCAATGACTTCTAGCCTATAGTTCTGACCTACTTACCCTCCCTGATCTCTCCCCAAGACTCACCGAAGCCATGCACAACTTAGGCATCAGGTTTGATCCCCATCTACACTTCGTATCCCACACCAGGTCCCTGGCCAGGACCTCCACCTCCACCGCATTGTCCTGGTCAGGTCCGCTTTCCACCACCTCCATCACATTGCCCGCCTGAGTCCGTACCTCATTCAGAAAGCTGCCAAAACACTCATCCATTTTTTTGTCACCTCCCACCTCAACTATTCAAACCCCCTCCACATTGGTCTCTCCTGCTCCACTATTCACAAAATTTAACTAATTCAAAACTCCGCCGCCACAATCTTGCCCACGCTAATTTTTGTACCTCCATCACCCCAGTCCTTATCAAACTCCATTGGTTCCCTGTCACAGAAAGGATCAATTTCAAGACCCTCGCTCTTGTATTTAAGAGTGAGAATCATCAGCGCCTGTGCTTTCAGCCACTACTCCCCGAAACTGTGGAACTCTCTCCCTCATGTCCATGTCGGGACTTGGAACTCATCTAGTCTAAGCTGACACTCCAGTGCAGTGCTGGGGTCGCGCTGCATTGTCAGAGGTGCCATCCTTCGGAGAAGAAATTAAACCAAGGCCCCATCTGCCTGTTAAGGTGGATGTTAAAGATCCCATGGCACTAGTTAACAACAACAACAACCTGCGCCCTTCAGGCGGGGTAGCTCCACGCTTGACAGTGGAGGAGTCTGACAACGAGTCCTGTAGCTCAGTGGTTAGAGCCCACAAACATACAATCAATTCACTTTACAGTGTGTTCTGTGAAGCGCTTTGGGACGTCCTCCCAACGTGAAAAGCGCTATATCAAATGCAAGGATTATTATTATAATGAGCCAGGGGTAGAGGGAGGGGGAGGTGACCCTAAGCAGAATCAAAAAGGACAGGCTTTAGGCAGGATTTGAAGGTGAGGATGGAGGGGCAAGGCGAAGGGATTGAGGGAGAGAATTCCACAGTTTTGGAGCGTACTGGCTGAAGGCACGGCCAGGGCATTGGAAAAGTGCACCGGAAGTGACAAGGCATCGGTTGTGCAGTATGAATAGAGTTGGGCAATATGGCGCAGGTGGAAAAAAGCAGTCCACGGATGTGTGGTAAAAAGGAAAGCTGGGGATCAAATCTGACACCAAAATTGTTCACAGATTCTGTGAGTTTGGGTAGTCAAAAAGAAGGGAATTTCTCTGTGCGTCCCTACAGTCACTGCATGTTCCAGTTCCAGTTTGACACTTTGGGATGTCCTCCAAGTGTGAAAAGCGTTGTACCAAATGTAAGGATTATTATAACTCAGCATAGACCCGTGATCAAACCTGAGACCTTGCAGTTCTGTATGATCGGGTCAATTCCACATTAAATCATGACTTTATGACCCGAGCCATCAGTGGAGCCCAACAATGGACTAGTTTTGATAATACTTTGAATAATCTGTGTAGCACCAAATATAATACATGTTTTGTGCATTTATGTGGCTTGTGCAATCATTTTCAGATAACAATAGATAACAATTTGAGCACTATGCATTTACTGTATAAAGTTTATTTTTCAAATAGATTATGATTAAAAANTATACATCAAACATTGATTCAAAAATGCTACAATTGACCCCAACAGGTCAATACAAATATACTTCTGGTACAAGATTAAACTGATGTCATAGACAATCTGAGTGCATTTTTGCATTTGCATTTAGCTCACAATGATTTTGGACAACATGAAAGATATAACAACAACATTAACAACAACAGCAATTTATATAGCACCTTCCCCATTGGGAGAACATCTCAAAGTGCTTCACACAACTGATATAAGCCCAAGATGGGAGAGGGCGATGGGAGCTAAGGATGGGAAGGCAAAGGTGAATGAAAGCACAATCTAACCTACAGATTTTATGGCAGGTTTTGAAGAAGAAGGAAGGACCAAAGCAGAGGGACTCCGGAATCAAATTCAGGAAAGTGGGGGCAGAATTCCGGAGAGCTCACCCAACCCAATGGTGGGATAGAGCAGGAATAGTGTGTAGCAGGCTGGTGTTTTGCTGAGCAGAGGAGCGGCTGGGTCAGTAAGGTCGCAGGAGGTTGCAAAATTAGAGCAGAGTGAGGCCATGATGGCATTCAATAATATGTAATAATCCTTATATTTGATATCGTGCCTTATCACATCATCAAGACGTCTCAAAGCTCTTCACAGGATATACTGTAAAGTGAATTGACTGTGTATTTTGTGGGGGAGACACGGCAGCCAATTGCACACAGCAGTGTCCCACAAACAGTTGTGGATTGAGAGACCAATTTTTTAAAAAAATATATAAAGGGATTATTACATCCAGAAAGTGATCTACCAATCAACTAACAACCAGGTTCCTACTTACTGCTAGGAAAACAGAAGCATGTGGAGTAAGGAAATTTGCTTAAGGTATCACCCCACCCAGGGCAAGGCAAATGCTCTAACCAATATGCTAGATTGAGTTGGCAAATCTTGAAATCAATCTACTGGGGCATAGGGAGACAGCGGTCTTGATGGAGGATGGTGTGCAGGAGAGGACATGGATGCTAGAGATCTAGATGGTTGGTAGTTTGTGTTGGGATAATCTGGTGAATCTGGAGAGCAGGGAGTTAGAGTACTTAAGGCTGAAGGTGATGAAGACTTGAATAAGGGATCCCAGCAGGCCAGGGTGTGGTGTGGTGTGAGAGATACTGATGGAAGCGAGCAATGTTCAGGAGGTGTTACGTGTGGTTGGATTTCTAAAGAAAATAACAAGTTCTCTGTAACAAAGACAAAAGATTGTCACTAAACTCGCAGATAACCTGAGCCCCAAGGGTTGGCTTGGTTCTTAGAATTTTTTTGTAAGTGTTTGCAGCTGCCAAGAAACTACTATAATATGAATTACAATAATGATTCTAAATCCTTAATCTCATACCAAGCTGAAAGATCGATCAGTCCATGTTGAGGCTCATCAGCATCTGACTGAGTGAACGTAACATACAAGTAGGCACTATCTAGTCCAATATATAACACATAATTTAATTCACCAAGGGACACATCAGCAGAACTTGCAATATTCAGCCATAATTTATTGCTTCTTTCTCAAGTCGTCAGGTTTCTCTGAGCTTCCTTTGGACCAAATTGAAATAGTTGAACCTTTTAGCTTTAGTGAGGCATCACACACTGAGAAAATGATCCAAACTATTCAGCATTGCATACTTTTTAAACTCAAGTGTCTGAGAACAAAGGCAATCTTCATTTCAAGGGAGAAAATAGCAAAACAGCTGGTAGGCCAGGGTGTGGTGTGGTGTGAGAGTTCTGAAAAAGACAATATGAACGGATGAATGCTTTTAAATTTGGACAGGATTTAAGTTCCAACATTTTATAAAGAGAAAACAAGATAGAACAAAGCTGATGCACATCAGTTACTCAATATTTAGCATGTGTGGGAGTCATGCTGAGTAACATCAAATACTGTATTATCAGTAAACACAGATGCATTTGTTTACTTTATTATTATGTTTGTCAGCCTGGTTCAGGTGGACAGCACTCTTGCCTCTGAGTCAAAGCCCCACATCAGGATTTTGAACTCAGCGTTTAGACGGCTACTCCAGTGCATTCCTGGGAGTGCACTGCATTGTTGGATGAGCCACCCTTCGGATGAGACGTTAATCCAAGGTCCCATCTGCCTGTCCAGGTGGATATTAAAGATCTCATAGCAACATTCAAAGAGAGATTTTCCTGGTGTTCTGCCTTACAATCCCCCAAATAAAACTGATCATTCAGTCCATGATTTTTTGTGGGACATTGATGTGAGCAAATTGGTTGCTATGTTTGCCAACAAAATATATACTCTACAGTGAATCCTGTGGAACACTTTGAGATGCAATCCCAACGGGTAAGGTGCTATATCAAATACAAGGAATGTTATTGATCTCTGTATAAATTAATTGTATATTAGTAGTGAATAAGAAGGTTGATTCGTCATTAAGTGGCAATATTGCCCAAACAAAACACTTTTGTTTTGTCAGTTTTGGATATTGGTTATCCACTATATTGAGTGCTGCAATTGTATTGTTAGTTTTAGAAAATTAATCTAGACATATTCGGTCAGATGATCTACACATATTGGTAATAAATTTCAGTTATCAACCTACATCAAGGAAAATGATTATGAATTCCTTAATATTATTTATATAATCTACATTTAAAAGCTTTGTACCTTTAAGGTGACTGTTTTGACTGCAGAAACAATTTTCGGTAAGGCTGGTGAGCTACATAAAATGTTGAAAGAAAGAAAAGGAAAAATTAGATCAGTCACAGATAACAAAACTTCCAAAAAGTCAAATTTTGATATAATTTCCTCTATGCTAATCTAATGAAACTCAAGGTTATCAATCTAACTTTAAACCAACATTTGTTCAACTCTAAACGGTTACATTCCAGAAAGGTCATTTCACAGCAACACAAGTACCATTATGTACAGTGCAGTACAGTATATAGGATTACCTTATATATGCCCAAACTTATAACCCTTTAGTCCTCTTCTTTTTCATTACCAGTGGGTTAAAGCCCCAAGTCGGGACTCCCAGCAACATTACAAGTATGTAATTCCAATGTACAGCTAGCAATGGGCAATATATACAAGCCCAGAATTCCTGATTATCCTCACACTCGTGTTCAAATCCCTTCACTCTCCGGCACCTCCCTACCTCTCGGACCTCCTCATCCTCAATCCATCACCCAGCGCCTCCTCTCAACTGGCACCAGCCTCCTGTTCATCCCTTTCACCCTCCATCGGAGGTTGTGCTTTCAGCATCTACGCCCTGAAACTCTGGAACACTCTCCCTCAATTACTCCGCCTTGCCCCCTCTCCCCTTTTTCAAGTCCCACCTTGGACCCTGGTCACCTCCCCCTTCCCCTGGCTTGGAGTCAGGCTCCACCACTGTTAAACCCACTGAGACGCCACCCTGCGAAGAAGGCGCTATATAAGTGTAAATTGTTGTTACCCAATGGTCATTTTAATAAGATGAATGAAAGTCTTAACTTAAAATATGATTTGAAGACTAAGTGGGCTCCAATGGCTTTTTTGCTGTACATTCAACATTATATATCAGATATAATATATATCATGCTCTTCCTCAAGGTAAAGTTCACATGGCCACAAAATTGAGGAATCATTTATTAAGAAAGATAAAGATTTATAGTAGTACTCTGATCAATTAAGCGCCACTTAAAAGCATTTTGATTTATCTATATTCTGTAAACACTAATAAATAAATGATTAATCAGAAATTTGATCTTTATAATAGTGATATTGGCTACAAAACAATTTACTTAATTAGATTGCATTAGAGTTCTTTCATGTTAATTAAATGCTGAATTCAACAAGTTAAATACAACAACAAACAACAACAAGCATTTATGTAGCACACTTCAAGTAGGTTAACATCTCAGGTTCCATATATCAGGCTGATATCTCCAAGGCATTCTTTACATTGTACCAATTACTGATACCCAACATGTTAGTTTGAATGCAGAATAAAACTATTTTACATATAACATTGTATGTAAGATCCAGTTGACAAAAATTCATGCAACATCTTATATAACGCCTTTCACTTAGGGAAAATACCTCAAAGTGCTTTACAAAGACTGAGTGGTGGTCAAAGGTGGAAAGGAATATTTACTTTTGGATGCATCAAGACAGTAGAAGAGGACACATGATAGAGTAATTTCAGGGCAAACTCCAAGGAGAATATCCAGTGGATAAGCAGTGTATAACAAACGTAAACGTTCTGACATGTTAAAATTCTGAGCTCAGGAATTGTGGCTAATGTGAGCATGAGACTAAAACAGGAAAAAATATGTTCCCTGTCTATATGCCATGCATCCCATCCACGACTGTTTGTGGGACACTGTTGTGCACAATTGGCTGCCACATTTCACCCACAAAACACACAGTCACTACACATTACAGTCTATTCTGTGAAGCGCTTTGAGACTTCTCAACAACATGATAATGCGCTGTATCAAATGCAAGGATTATTATTAATATTATAAATAACGAGTGGTTGCCAGGGTCTTCATCATCAGAACCAATCTTGTGAAGGAGTGGTCAAGGGACTAGTAGGGTCATAGGAGATCCCAGAGTTAGGGTGGTACAAGATATTGAGGCATTAAAACCGTTTGAGGATGAGGATCTTAAAGTTCATACACTGAGGATAGGAAGCCAGTGGAGATGCGCAATGATTGGGGTAGATGGGCTCATGGAGCCTATGTGAGAGTGTGAGAGAAGATATTGGTTACAAATTTTTGGATGGTTTGAAGCTTGTGGTGCTTGGAGCTAGGGAGGTTGGTGATCAGGGCATTGGAAAGGTCAAATCTGGAAGTGACAAACTCTTAGCTGAGGTGTTATGGTGGGGGAGTTTGTAGGTTGTGTTGGGGGAAGGTAACGACAAACATGGCAATATTGGAGGAAAGGGCTGAATGAAAGACTTAGAGAAGAGTTAAGGGTCAAACAAAACACAAAGGTTCCTTGCAGGCTCTCTATTCTAGAATCTAGAATAGCGACTATAGAGATGTAAACACTTAGGTGTGGAGGCACTGGCGGGACCTAAGCAGGATAATCTCAATTTTGTCAATGTTGAGTTGAGGACAATTACCCCTCATCCAGGACTTGATGTCCAACAGACATCTGCCAGAGCAGCAGTGCCTCGGAGTCAAGGGTGGAGGCACAACGGTGGACGAATATTATCTGCTTATACAACAACAAGATTACATTTGTATAGAATCTTTCACAACGGGAGGACGTCCCAAGGCACTGTAATATATGGAACTGGACAAATAAACATTGTAGAAAGATGAAACTGAACAGAATAAGATATGGTTTAACAAATGTATGTTTAGTTTTAATGAATCATCACAATGGTTCAATCACAATTTGAAGGTTGTGTAAAGTTTGGCAAGTTGTACAACCAGTTGTACAAATGAACTTAAGCCCTTAATCTCAACCCTCACATTACAACGTGACATTGTTTTCATTTCGGTTCAGAAAAATATTATGCTTTTACTGCAATGATTGACTCTTGAAAAGTGTAGAGGAGAAAAAGATAGAAAGATAACCAGGTGGAACAACATTATTTTCTACACCTATTAAAGCAAGTTATTCTCAGTAAACAAATACATCCAGTACATAGTTCCCAAGTTAGATCATTTAGACTTGGTTGGCATGTTGGCGTCATTCAGCCACCCACATCAAAACAATCATTTGAATTCAGTGAAATTGTTTTTAAATACAATTTAGTTTTGGTTGTACTTTTTTCTATCCGTTCTCATTGGTGCTTCCTATGGTCTAACTTCCACCATCACCTCAGACAGCATTGAAGTCGAGGCATTTATTGCTGCTTCTGGTCAATGCCACTTTGTTGATTGTTGCTTGGGTGATAAGATGGGAAGGATTAGTCTTATCAGTTTTTCTTCCCCTGTCTTGGAACTCTATGCTGCTCAGACTCAGCACAGTGAAAGGTAAGCAGTCTCACAGCTATGATTTAAATTTTATCATGCTTGCCCATACTGAAAGTCTACATATCAATCACTATACCTAACAGATCCCCAATAGCTTTGCAATGTACATGTTTATACAGAACAATACTTCCATAAATTAGGTTTAAATTATGTTTTACCTATTGTCTTTTCATCAAGTTACTCCATTAGCTTAAGGAGTAGGAATCAGTAAATGTCTTAAAATGATATGAGGTCTTAGATTGCATCACTATCCGTGACCAAAAGCATGGTCAAAGCGATAAATCTTAATTTTAGGCAGGCTTTGTAAGTGGGAAGGAATTATAAGATCATAATAGAACTTTTAATCCCATTTTCATCTTGCACAACATTGCCGTGCAAATTGGTTGCTGCATTTGTCTATTAACATGCAATCACTGGAGTATGTGAAGCACCTTGAGACTTTCTCAATATTATGGGCAATATATCAAATTCAAGGATTTTTATTGGCCTTATTCCGTGCCCCTTTACAGCCAAATATCTTTCTATCTCCCTTTTACATATCCCAATTGACTCTGCCTCCATACCCTTGAAGAATTATGAGCACAAGTCGGTTCCTCCATATAAAATGATGCACATATACTATTGATAAGTCTGAAACATGTACAATCCTTGTAAATACTTTGGTGAATTATCATTTAGTTGACTAGTACTACTATGTATTTTGCCTGTAATTATTGAACATTTGTAGCTTTTGTTAACATCATTAACATTTTGTACTTTCTAACCTTTGTAACCTTACTATTTTTTGGGCAGTCTTTTTTTGGTCAGCAGCGTGTCTGACACATGTGATGCGCCTTGAAGGAGGCAAGGGAAGGAGCGAGGCGAAGCAAATGTGGGATAGAGTTCCAAAGGATGGGGGCCGAAAGGCTGAAGGCCTGACCGCTGATGCCGGGGCGGGCAGAGGACATGGAGCAGGCCACAGCCTGCTGAGCGGAGGGAGTGTACAGGTTGATATGAGGACAGCAGATTGCAGAGGTAGGAAGGAGCAAGCCCATGGAGGGCCTTGAAGCTGAGGACAAGGATTTTCAATTCTATCTTCTGGGGGATAGGGAGCAAGTGGAGATGGGTGACGGTGGGGGTGATAGGGTCATGGAGCCTGGTGAGGTCACCTACACAAGGAAATTCCAGAGACAGTTTGTTGGAATGGAATGCGCACTCTCTCCCTAGAGGAAACCTTGCTAGGAATGAATAGTGTCCACTTTATCTTGAGCCAATGTTTTTGACTGTTATGCTTTTAAGTGTGATGACATTTCCCTTTCTTTTCTTGGTTAGGTAAATTAATGAGGAAAAGTGGCATCACCAAATAGTTCTTGTCTTGAGTTAAGGTTGAACTAAGCAATTGTAAACTGTAGGAAATTGAGTGCAAAGCTACCTTTTCTTATCGAAGTCCATGTTTTTACAAATACGGATCAGGATGCAGTCAGGAGTACAAAGAATGTTTTTATGAAATGGTTTTGTGGGCTGAAAGTAAAATTGAGGAAAAGATATTTGTGAGATAAGCTAGATGGTTAGAGTTGAAGGAAGGATCAAACAACCGAGTGGGTATAAATGTAGTGGTTGTAGCTGATACTCTTCAGAATAGATCCAGGAAAGAAGAAGTTATCAAATAAAGAACACAAGAAGAAAAGAAATGAAGACAAAGAAGAAAAGATAAAGTAGAAGAAACTCTTGTAACTACTAATTCTCTTCATATAAACACCCATTCTGATTACCCCTTCACCTTTCTAGATCTAAGGAATATAAAATAAATCTAGCCAATCTCTTATCATATTTTAGCACTTTCATCCGAGGATGTCCTCCTGATGTGAAAGGCACAATATAAATGCAATAGTCAATTTACTTTACAGTATATTCTGTGAAGCGCTTTGAGACGTCGCAAAGACTTGATAAAACACTATATCAAATGCAAGTATTATTAATGTATTATTATTGATCTATATAAGTATGCAGCAAATTAATTAGATCATGTTTTTGCAACACTTATATTCTAGTGTCTATCGAGATCAATAACATTCAACCATCAACGGCAATTTCAAAAATTATTGACATCTCTGTGTAATTTTTATTAGTTCTCAGTTGCACACTGCTCACCTGTGAATGATATATATCCAACTGCGATCACGAGAAATAATGAAATTCCAATAAATAAAATTATCAAGCCATATTGTAAGGAAACTTCTGTGGAGTTCAGCTCTATAGTGATAAAAAAAATAGATATTTGTTGACATTGCAATGGAGCAAAGAAGCTTGAGGGTTGATCTGATTGAGAGGTTTTGATAGAGTCAATAGAGATATTATTTCCACTGGTTGATGAGTCAGTGACTAGAGGACATCAGACTAACATAACAAGCAATTAAGCAAATGGGAAGTTAGGAGGTTTTCGTCCCCAACTACACACACACACACACACACACACACACACACACACACAGAGTGATTAGGATATTGAATATCCTGACAAGAGCGGTGATTGCGACAGAATCCACATTGGCTTTCACAAGGGAACGAGTTAAACACCGTAAAATGAGTCAACTACACAGTATGGGGAAAGGGCAGGTAAATAATAATAATAATCCTTGGGTCTGATAGGGTTCCTCTTAAAGGAGCGAGGAGACACAGGATGGACCAAATGGCATTCCTCTGTGCCATAAATATTTTATGTTCTATGGGCCTCGTAAATAAAAAAAATTAGAAGAAAAAAGTGAAAATCTGAAAGAAGAACAGAAAAGGTGACAGAAAATTATCGTCTGAAAGTCGAAGTTAAGTTAAAATCTTATTTTATTGAGAACAGATACTTACTGCATATTATATCACAGATCTGAATCCGAACAGAATATTCTAGATCTGTCCTCCAACCCTGTCGAGGCAAATTATTCAGATTTATTTCAACATCAAAAATTTACATTTATGTAGTGCCTTTCGTGCCTGGAGGATATCTCTAAAAGCTTCACACAACTGATTTTGAGCCAAAGCTGGGAGATGGGGGTGGTTTGAGGGGTGGGGGTGGAAGGAGAGATAGCTGGGCAGAGGGAGCCGAGGACAAAAGCACGGTCAAAAAGGGAGATTTTAATGATTTTTGCTTTTTTACATAAAATCAATTTGTGGCCTGATGTCTCAATAGGTGAATGTATTGTGTAATGTACTGCTGAGCCATGGCAAGCAGGAAGCTAATCATGAATTAGCGAGCCTCAGTTTGAGTGCGAAAGGGGCATGTTGAGGTAAGAGGCCTTAGTTTGAGATGGGAATGAAGGCATCTCATTCCTTCCATCCCTTTCCATCCCCTTGCCCCTTACCAAGCAATCCTTCATGGAAATGATGAGACCGAGTGAGGGCACAGCAGTGATGGCTCTGAAACAAATAGCCCTTCCATCACTCTCCCAAATCACATATAAAGGAGATCACGAAAGGCAATTAGCTCCTGTAGAACTACTCCACACATTTATTTACCAGTTTCAGAACACAGGGAGTAAGGCTATTAAAACCATAACAAAGAATTCAAGAGCAAGAAGCTATTGAGTTAAGTTTGTGAATGACTCGTCCCTTACCTGTATACAAATGTTTGTGTCACATACTTCCTGAGGCAGGTTGACAGCTATTGAATTGGTGCCACTCTGTCGGAAAGATTATGATTTGCATTTAATATCTTCTTAATAGGTTTGATCCAGAAATGAAATCATGAATCAAAATCAGTTTTTGTTTAAGCATTTGTGATTGATTTTCCAAATCTTTCTACTCAGCTTCCACATAGCCTTACTAACCCCTCTGCAAGTCCTTGCCTCAATCCCTCTATCCTGACCCCTCTTTTCCCATCTTCAAATCAAACCTGAAGACTTTCCTCTTTGACCGTGCCTTCTGTCTCCTCCCCTCTCTCCACGGCTTGATGTCAAACCATACCGCTGTTAAGTGCTCCAAGAAGCTATCTCGCGTGAACAAGTTGTTGTTGTTGTAACATGTTCTATATGACTCACAAGATCACCAGATCAGTTTGGACAAAGAATGCCCTGCAGCCCATTTGATCTCATCCTTACAGAATACTTCCCTACCGTTTTCCCATCAAAGCACGAAGCTGTTTGCCATGTCATGCTCAATAACAAAATACAGTCACTAACCTTTACAGTAAATCCTGTGAAGCACTTTGAGATGTGAATGGCGCAATATCAAATGCAAGGATTGTCATTAGAATTAAATCAACATAAACTCACACAATTTGCTCTAACATGCGTCTCCTTCACTGGCTCACAACTCCAGGGTGCAGTCCTATTACAAAGAGCCATCTTGAATTCAGACTTGTCTTGGGTCGAGAAAGTTAGCTGCAATTGGTCCACTTGTATTCGAGTGCTCATGTTCCAAACTGAAAATAAAATAAATGATTCAGCATATTTAAAAACTGCAATCAGTAGTTTACTATTCACATGGTTTCTATTCTCTGGGATGCTGTGCAGTTGGTTTGCTTGAAAACAAATCATCTTTCGATTGACAAATTTTATACTTTGTCTTCAAATTAATAAGAAATTGAATGAAGGTCCCCAAAATATGTGTCTAATTTCTGTTTTAAAATCTTTATTAACCTTACCTGGTAAATATCCATGGGCAAAAGGACATCTCACCCAAGATCGCTCATCTGTGGTAAACTAAATAGGAAGTATAAAAATCGGATGGTTGTTAATACCAAACATTGAATCAAAAGATATGAAAATATCTGTAAAATTGCCAATTACATTTTTAAATAGGAAAATAAGATGCTCTTTGTAACATATAATAAAAAAATGCAATTTGTACGTTATAGCATACTTTTAAAAATGAAAAATAAAAAAATGTCTTTGGTTTGTCAGACTGCTTTAAAATGTTTTTGGGGAGAGTTCTCAAAAACGAAGAACGGAGTAAAAACAGAAGTTGCTCGGAACACTCAGAGGGTCAGGTAACATATATGGTGAGAGGAAAATGAGTTGACAGCTATTGAATTAACATTTCATTCGATAACCTTTCATCATGAGTTGGACCTGAAATGTTAACTCATTTTCCTCTCTCCATAGATGCTGTCTGACCCGATGCGTGTTCCCAGCGACATCTGTTTTTATTTCAGATTTCCAGCATCTATAGTCATGGTTAACATATTATTGGGGAGAAATTTCACTTGGGTCTACATTTACTCTACTGTTGCAACATTTTAGAGTGTGCAGAATTTGGCCAAATCTTAAATACAGCCTTCATTTTAAAGCCGGTTGTCTGTAATTAATTTCTTTTAAGAACTTCAAAGTTAAGACTGAACAATCTGCCACAATCTACATGCTCTAATAATAGTGATTAATAATAATAATAATTAATAATAATAATTAATAATAATAATCCTTGCATTTGATATAGCATCTTTCACATCAGGAAAAGGCTCAAAGCGCTTCCTATAATTTACAGTAAAGTGTAGTAACTGTGTATTTTGTAGGCGAGCGCTATGTTAATAGAGTAAATCTAGAGCCAGGTGGAATTTCACCCTAACTATTGGGGCAGAAGTTGAAGATAGATAGAACTGTACTCTGGATCTGCCCATACTAAATCTGGGAGGGCAAAATGTTGCTAGTGGGAGCACGGTACTCACTTGCCTTTCATTATAATAAGAATAATCCTTACATTCGTTGTCAGACTCTGCCACTGTCAAGCGCTTGTTTTATATAATAATAATATTTTTATTTATTTTAGGTGCACATTGACAAAATTCCTATATTTGCTGAATTACTGCTACATATTGCTGTTCATTGATATACCTACAGAATCAAAGGTTACCGAAGGTAAAAAGAAAAAGTTGCCTACAAACAGCACTATATGGGTTTCTTGAGGGGCAAATTTACACAGCAAGGTTTATTATACAGGGAATTTTCTCAGTTGGAGAGATTTCACCAAAGATCTACTTTGCCATGAAAGGGTGGGATAAGTTAGCTTATTTGGGATTATTTGCACTCGTGCCTTAGAAAGTAGTTTGTTTTAAAGTATTTAAAAAACACAAGGAAGGGCAGACATTGAAACTATAATTTAACCATAAACTGAAGATAAATTGGAGCTGGAAAATATTTTACCTTTACACACAACGTTGGGTGCGGATCTACACGTGAATATTTCACCTAGTCAAAATAGTAATTAAAAAAATAATATTATTCACCATCACACATGTTCAGATAAAACACTTTTTTTTGCTTGGAGCTCTAATGGTGGAGATAATAATGATTCTTACATTTGCTATTGCATTGGGAGTATAAATCAAAGCGCATAACAGGCTATACTGTAAAGTCTAGTGACTGTATTTTGTCAGCCAACATGGCAGCCAATTTACACACAACAATGTTTTTGAATAACAGAATAGGATCTTTAACGTTCACCTGAACAATCAAATGGGGACCTTGGTTTAACATCTCATCCTAATGACAGTATCTCTAACAAGGCAGCACAAGTCCAGCAGCAGTTCAAAGTCTCAACGTGTAGTTTGAACCCACAACCTTCTTGACTCAGAAGCTAGTGCTACCAACTGAGCCTGTCTGACACACTAGTTAGAGATAGTTTTCATGCAACAACAACAACAACAACAAAACTACATTTGTATTGCGCCTTTTATATTGGGAGGACATCCCAAGGTGCTGGACAGTCAGTGCTGCAGCAAACCTTAGCAAATGGCTAAACAATAATCTGCATGAACAGATTCTTCAGTGCTGCGGACAAACAGGTTGAAGAGTCATGTACATACTTCCTTTTGTACTTTGTGTATGGAGTTTGGTAGGTCTATGCAGTGGTCATCCTCTCCAGTCATCCAGCAGAAGTTGACAACAACTTGCACTGGGCAGATGGGTTTCCATGCTAACTCCTGTGCGATAGGATCATAAGTAATTCCATTCCAGAGTTCAGCTGTGTCTATAGACACACAGGAAAAACAGAGGTGAATAACATAATAACAATATAATATAATAATTCTTGGATTTGATATAGTTCCTTTCATGTCAGGAGGATGTCTCAAAATGTGGCACAGGATATACTGTAAAGTGTAGTGAGTGCGTATTTTGCAAGTTAATTTGGCAGCCAATTTGCAAACAGCAAAGTCCCACAAACAGCCATGATGTGAATGACCAATTTTATATGGAGGATTATTGGCCAGGACACCAAGAGAGACTCCCTTTGCTTTCAAGTTCAGTATTCGTGTATATATATACATATTAATAATAAAAATAATCCTTGAATTTCACTGAGGAGGATGTCTTTAAAGTTCAGTGACACACTGGAAGTCTGCATTTCGTTGCCTTAAGGTAATGGACAGCATTAGAACATATCCCCATTCTGCAATGATTTACCATAATCCTAATACTCGCTGTCAGAATTAACGCAACCTTTTCATTCCTCATTTTTATGCTCATGGATTCTTTGATTAATATTTCTAAACAAATATTTATGGAATTGTGGGTAGACATTTTGCAAACTCAATCATTCACATTTCCGAATGTGCTGAAAGACGGAAGTACTGTGATAATTCCATTCATCAAACCATATATATTTCCCTCAGACTACTCAATTAATACTAGTCTTGGATCATTTATACTGCAAAAACGCAGGTCAACTGGGAACAAGTTCATAAATGGCCAGATTGATTTTTACTTATCGACTGTCAGGGAATGGGTTCAGATTGGATTCAATATTTTGAAAGGAGTAATAATAATAATAATAATAATCCTTGCATTTGATATAGTGCCTTTACATTGAGATGTCTCAAAGTGCTAGCCAGGAAATTGTGTAAGGTGGTTTTGACTTCGTATTTTGTGGGAGAAATGCAGCAGCCAGTTGCAAACAGCAATGTCCCACAAACAGCCATGGATTGAGTGACCTATTTTGTTTGGGGAATTGTTGGCCAGAACGTGGGAGAAACTCCCTTCTCTTTTCAAATATTGCCATGGGATCTTTAACGTCCACCTGAACAGGCAGACAGGAACTTGGTTTAACGTCTCATGTGAAGGATGGCAGCTCCGAGAGTGCGACACTCCCCAGAACTGCAGTGTCAGCTTAGACTATGTAATTCCAAGTCCTGATGTGGGTCTTGAAACTATAAACTTCTGACTCAGAGGTGAGAGTGTTACCAATACACTAGGCTGACACAAGGTCACAAGATCAATTCAAATGAAGAAGGCCCTTTGGCCCATCTGATCTCATCCTTCATGAACACCCACAACACTGTCCTTCCATCAAGAGGGTGGTTTGAGAAAATGGTTGTGCCAATCATTCCCTTTCCCACTTCCTGGGGACATGAAATTACAACAGTTTGTTACAGTTATTGCTTAAAAGCCAGGAAGAGAACAATATAAAACAGGAGAGAGTGGGGGGTTGGGGCTTTCTTTTAAACACGAGAAACTTGCTACAAAACGTGTCACTCTTGTGCCAATCTGTCCCTTCCCATACTCCCCCCCCCACCACCACCCAAGTTGCTTGTGGAATCCTGTAGCTTCGTGGTTAGAGAATTCGCATCACAAGCGAGAGGGTTCGATTCCCAGACAGGGGTAGAACCTTAGGCAAGTTTCCTTACTCCACACATCTCTGTTTACCTAATTGTAAATAGGAAGCTGGTTGTTAGTTAATTGGCGGATTGCTTTTCCAAAAAGATATGAATAATAATTTGGTCACTCAATCCATGACCATTTGTGGGACACTGCTGTGCGCAATTGGCTACCGTGTTTCGCCCACAAAATACACAGTTAATTCACTTTACAGTAGATTCTGTGAAGTGCTTTGAGACGTCTCGAAGACGCAATGAGGCGCGACATCAAATGCAAGGATTATTATTAACGACACGTGACAATGTTTTACTTTAGTGCTGCGACTTACAGTTTTTAAAAGGACAAAGCTGTATCCTCCTTGAATCGGGAATTGCTGACCAGCCCTAAAATATCAGCACAATAAACAAAGATTGTAATTTCAAAAGCAAGTGGGCCTGACATTCACCATTCATTTAAGAAAGAGTCAATAGAGACCAAGTCTCGTAAACCAAGACAAAGAGGACAAGAGTTGTAAACAATAGAGTATTGCCAATAAATGACGGCATGTCATATCCAACTTGTGGGATCCCGTTCCGAAATAGATTACAGGATTACAAGAATTCTGTGAAACATTCCTTGTCATTATTCGTGGATTGTGTTATAAATTGTTCTACTGCTTCTTAGACCTCAGCATTTCTTATTTTGGTCAATGCAAATTAACTTTAGAGAAAACAGATTGTGCCTGAAAAGAGTTTGTCATTTCACAAGGCAATAATACATTTTTATGTATCTTACAGTTATAACATTTGACATTAAAATTATACTTTTGTGTTAGATTATAAAATAAATAAAATTATTTACAAATAAAATTATTTATTTTCAACAAATCGTTGCATTTTTTTAAGCTGAAATTTGCAACGTCTCATTTTTAATGTTCCAAAATAGAATTTGTATTTAGACTTTTATTTAAATATTCCGAGGTGCTATTGTGCATGAAGGGTGGAAGTTGTTGTTATTTATTTAACATTATTTTATATTTTGGTATATTATTGACTAAAATATATATGAGCAGAAGGTCACTCTTAGAGATGGAATATAGACTTCACAATTGCCAAGCAAAACATTTCTCAGAGACTAAAACTAGAGAGGCTTCACCAATTTCTGGATCCACCCCATCGCACCACCACCAAATATATAAAATATATATAACTATGTGTGATTTGAACTCTTAATCCTAGTTCAGGAACCTGTTGAGAACATAAATTATATTTAATTACCTCCATACACAAACAAGGCACTATCCGAGAGTATGCCAAGGTGACTTCTTTGATGGAATCCTGCGCTTTTATCTGTAAAACAGAGGGTTTTTATTAACTACACAGTAATAAGGAACATGTTTTATGAATAATAAAGTAACAAGAACACCTTTTGGTATTAACGCAATACAAGGAAATCAGATAAAGTGAGGTTATTCCTCCCACTCACACCGATGTTACAATCTACATTTGTGCCTGTTCACATTTTGCATGAAGGTGGCTGTTTAAGAACTCTAGGCCTCCCTTGTCTTTAAACACCTGGAACATGTTTCCTGTATGTCTTTTCTTTCCAATTGAGAAAAAATTTAACATTTATTTCTTCATAATTTGTAGCTCCGATTCGAGGAAGCTTGGCTGACACTCCAGTATTGTGCTGGGGAAGCATTGCGCTTTTGGAGATTATGTCCTTTGAATAAGATGTAAAATCATGATTCCAGCTGTCTATTCAGGTGGACATTAAAGATTCCCTGGACACCATTTCTTCCAGTTTCCAAGCCCACAATCCCTCAGGTAAATCCACAGTCACTTCATTCTACAGTCAGATCCTGTGAAGCACTTTGAGACAGGTCACTGATGTGATAAGATGCTATATCAAATGCAATGGTAATTATTATTATGTTTTAGCAATGGCACAATAAAAATGAAAATGTTTTAGTTATTAATTGTTTATCAACTGTTTAGTTTGTAGGGGACAGAATTCATGATGAAACAAAAATGATCACTTACCAATGCAATTGTTCCCACATCTTCACAAGTGAACCACTTGTGGCACAATCGCACAGTGTAGGCCTGATCCTCTAAAAAATCAGACACTTGAATAGATATTGTCTTCTCAGTTTTGTTAATAAGATAGTTCAGTTTGCCAGCTGAAATGTGATGAGAAAGTAAATAGTGTTAGTTAGTTAGTTTGCTCAGTGCTCAAATTCGAAAAAGTATGACAAAACAAACATTCGAGGAATTGTATAACTAGTAGAGTATTATTGTACCTATGCAGATTGGAATATTTCTTCCGATATCTTCATTGTTACAATCTAAAATTAAAATAAAAAGTTTAGATCTTCTGATTGTAATCTCAAACTGTAAAATTCCAAACTACATGAATATGATTCCAAACCAATGCTTTCATTGCAGAATCAATTTACTCCATCACTGTTTGTGTAATTGCACCAAGACTCTCATCTGCACAAACATAACGGTGACCACTGAACAAACAATGGGGAACTTTGAACACTTTCTTTTCTGCCACAGGTAACAACGACACATGCTGAATTCTATTTGGTACAGATTAAGTATAAATGTGCATGTCAGAGACCCAAATATTCACATGTTTTTAGACTTAATACAATAAAATAATAATAATAATTTGTCACTCATTCCACGACTGTTTGTGGGACGCTGCTGTGCACAATTGGCTGCGACATTTCGCCCACAAAATATACAGGCAATTCACTTCACAGTATATTCTATGAAGCTCTTTGAGATGTCTCGAAGACATGATAAGGTGCTATGTCAAATGCAAGGATTATTATTAATCTGGGCCTGCCACCACTGTTAAGGTCCCTGAGATGCTATCCTGTGAAAGGGCACTTTATAAATGCAAATTATTGTTGTTGTTGTATTGTGAATATTGTGGACATCTGGGGACTTTCATAATTGATGCTTTACAACCACTAAATTGAAACTAGGATTGTGTTTTTTTTGCAATTGGCGCATGTTAAATAAATTATTGACCTAGCACAAATATACAGCATTTGTACTAGTTAACACTATAATAAAACAGGACTACTTAAGTAAATTATTTCCTTAAAAGATATGAAGATAAGATAAGCTGGTATTCCCCAACTGTGTGCAAGACTCCATTGTGCCACACTTTGCAAACCAAGTCTTCTTGCAGTAAAGCTACAATAATTTGAGTTAACAATTGAACCAAAGTGAAATATACTACTTGGGAAACCTGAGTCTATTTATTCAACTTGCATTATTTTTCCCAAATCTGGATCTATCACTCGATGTCATTATAAACTAGAAATGAAAGGATTGCTTTTTTTCAGCAATTGGCACTTGATACATACGTTCAATACACTCTTGACCTAACACAAATGTATAGCATTTGTACTAGTTAAAACTATAATAAAACAACAATACTTAAATAGGTACAAAGATAAGGTATGCTGCCATTCCTCAAACCAGCAATGAAAAGCTGCGACTTGCATGCCAGCAGGATCCAAATCACAGTCAGCTGGGTCGACAGCAACAACTAGAGCAAAAAACATTTTAATGAAGTCGGGGGGTGTTCCCTCCCACCACAGGTATTCTCCTGAGAGTCTCCTGTCCATTGATATTGGGAGCCAGTAGTCTTACCAATTGAAAGCCTTACTTACCCACTGCAAAGAAAGTCTCAGTCAAGAGTAGAAACACTTTATGTCGGAACCTTATTTTACTTGGCCATTACCCACAAAGCTCTTTTCATTGCAGAATATAAGTTGCCACAGTGGAAGCAACCTCATGGAGGGAAGTGTTTTGAAAGAGTTATTTCACGTTACAATAACATGTACTCATTTCTAAATAGATTCATACCTTCGACCTCGTATTCCTGGTTTAGGTAGATATCGCAGTAGTAAGGGATCGTTTTGAACGTCACAGAGATAAGGTCAGCAATCTCGGCGTTAAAACAGCTGTGCTCTATTTCCACCTGTAAGGAAGGAATTGCAAAGGTTGCGGTTTTGAGTTAGCAAATCACATCCTTTAGATACAATACTTGCTTAAGATCAGATTTGCTGAGATCAACAAACAAGTAATCTGCAGCAAGACTCAGCACAAGAGAAGTAAAGCATTAAGGGATGTGGGTGAAAAAGCTGGAGAGAGAAATTCATGAAAGGATAACATAAAAAGTTGAATAGTCACTTTCTGGGCTAAAAAAAAATCTGTTTTTATTCCTCTTCTCCTTCTTATCCACCTTGACAGAGATCAACCAACTCAGCAGTGTAGAAAGGCACAAGGGAGAGCTTGTCAACTTTTCCCATAAAAACTAATTAAGCATTGTATGAACAGGCCTTGAGATATGCACTTATCTATTCAATAACGACGAAACAACAACTTGCATTTATATAGTGCCCTTCACATTTGGTAGCATCGCAGAGCACTTCACTAAGCATAAAACACAACCAGGTAAAGGTAGGAATCACATCTCTCGAAAATAGTTATCTTCACCAAGTTAAGCACCGGACAGAATCTTCTATCTCTGAGTTCATAACACTCTCTGATCTAGTTAAAAAAATAAACCCACTTCCTAAGAAGGTAGATGTTGCAACAGGGGAAAACCAAATTGTGTAGAAACCCCCCAAATAACTCCATATTTTTATTGCTTTTTATCTTTAACTACTTTATTTGTGCTTAATATTAAAGGTAATAATAGCAAATGTAACATGTGAAAAAAGTTAATTTAGGCTATATGAATCTAAATTATACACATACATATATGTGTGAATACATATGTAATTCAGAAACATCAAATACACTTCAGATAAAAGGACACTTGAGGTCAGGACACTGAATTCATTTAAGAAACAGCTTGATGGTGTAATGGAAAAATTATAGTTTGGTATTGTGGAGGGGTAAGATCAAATAAACCAAAGGGTGTTATTCATCCTCTTGTGAAACACAATCTAGTTTCCTCTTGCCTCAAGAGGAAGGCTATTTTGAAACCCAGACTCATTAACTACTGCATTGCCTGAAATGGTGGTGGAAGCCGATTTGATTTCAACTTTCAAGAGAAAAGTAGACAGATATTTGGGGAGGACAAATATACAGGGCTATGGGGAGAGCGCGGGGGAGTGGGATTAATTTGGATAGCTCTTTCAAACAGCTGGCACAGACACGATGGGCCAAATGGCCTCCTTCTGTGCTGTATAATTCTATGATTCTATGATTATGCTGAACTACAGAACAGAATACATACACTGACCAGTAAACAACTGAACACAATGAAAATGAATACTCACAAGCTGTCCAGCAAGTTTCTTACTTGAATTTTTCTTGATTCTCACGACAACACATTGGGAACGAAAGGTGTGCATTGAAAGAGTGCAGATTTCAACACCACGGATATGTTCTGTAATATCAGAGCAAAGTAAAGATAAGTCATTTTGCTGCTAGCAGGGTGTTATTCTTGGTTACCTTAAAAACACAAAATAAATTATTGTGACAAACTTCTGGCCTAGATTTATCACCCATAACAGAAACAACCAGATGGCACACTTCAGAAAATCTACACCTTCAACCTACTTAAACCTTGCGCAAGTTTCCTTACTCCACATGTCTCTTTTTGCCTAGCAGTAGACAGGAACCCATTGATTGGTGGATTGCTTTCAGGGGGTAATAATCCCCCATATTCCCCCACACCTCCCCCAAAAAAATCCACGACTGTTTGTGGGCCTTTGCTGGGCAGAATTTTGCCCCAAAAATATAGTGAATTCGCTTTACAATATATTCTGTGAAATGCTTTGAGATGTCTCAATGACGTAATAAGGCGCTATATCAAATGCAAGGATTATTATTATTATTGCTGGGAATATAAATATTTTTAACCAAATACATGGATGTGTTGTTAGACATTCTCAAAGTGTTACCTCTTTTATCAAAGGCTTGTTCTCTTCGCTAACGTTGGCACAATCAGTCAGAACAAGGTCCAATATCCCTGTTCAGATGGTTGTGAAAGATCCCATTACACTATTTGAAAAGAGAAGGGAGTTTTTCCCACAGTCTTGGCCATTAATTCCCCAAATAAATTGGTCTCTCACGCCATAGCTGTTTGTGGGACATTTCAGTGCACAACTGGCTGCTGAGATTCGCCCACAAAATATACAGTCAATTCAAGAATACAGGGAGAATGGGAAGAATACCATTAAGCATCAATGTTGCTTTAACTCTCAAGCGTATGGAACATTGCCTCTTCCTTTCACATTTCAACACTGTAAACATTTTGAGATCCTCCACAACTTTTGACGGCAGGGATGATCGATGTTTGCGGCAGTCGCGATACTGGTCATCTGCAAAAGGAGCACAATGCAATCATTGTTAGGACATGTAAATATTGATATCTCATATGCAGCATAGAAGATATGCATTGGTTAGCCAAACTAATCACAAGGTTACAAGAGAGATTTGGATGAACAGGTCCATTGGCCAATTGATCTCATCCTTCCATTATACCCACTCCACCATCTTCCCAATACAGCATCAAATTGTTTCTTAAATGTGTCCTATGTCCTGGCCTTAACTATACTTCTTAGTAAACTGTTCCAGTTGTTAATTTCCCCTCTGGGTAACAAAATACTTTCTAGATTCTGCCCTGAAATAGTCCTTTGCAACTTTAAACCTCTTGTTCTCCTGCCTTGTAGTATCAGAAAGTATTGCTCTGTAATCACAAGATGCTCCTAATCTACAACTGGTTCAGCAATAATTTATTTAAACTGAACAACCAAACTATGGAAAGACTGCCCTGAAAATATTCGCTACATATGTTTTTGTAGTGCTATGGGAAGAATAACTGCACTGAATAACGTTATTTTATAAAATGTTAAACAAGATCGAAAAACTAAACCCTGAACCATATTTTTGGATGCACCAAGACAGTAGAACACGAGGACACTGGTTCAGAGTTGCAAAGGGCAATTTCAGGACAGATATCAAGAAGTTTTTCATTACCCAGAGGGTAATTAATAACTGGACCAGACTGCCAGCAAGGATGGTTGAGGCCATTGTACTGACTGAAGCTGTGATGGGAGGATGGTAGGGGTGGGTGTTCTGGAAGGATGAGAACAGATGGGCCAAAGCAAATCTTGTAATCTTGTGACGGATCATTCCAGTAGACATATCCAATCCATGGGGATCAGAACTAGGACCAGTAATGCTAAGGTCATAAAGCATTTCCTCTCACAGAGGATTGTGATGATGTTTTGTCCCAGAAAGCTTTAGAGGCAGAATCAATAAGGATGTTTAATAATAATAATAATTCTTGCATTTGATATAACACCTTATCACATCTTCAAGAAATCTCAAAGTGCTTCCCAGAATATACTGTAAATTGTAATGACTGTGTATTTTGTCGGTGAAAACATGAGTTAGCCAGATGAGCGGTTGGGTAGTAGCAGTATTAAGGGGGGCATTGAAAGGGTGAAGCATTAGAATGAATAGATCTGCCAAGATCAAATGAACTGATGGAACAGGCTTGTTGGGCTGAATGGCCACCTCCAGTTTTCCTATGTTCTTATGTTCCTATGGATGAATTAGAAGGAATGGGAAGTAGGAAGCGTCTTGCCAGACTTCCTCATTTCCCTTCCTGTCGCTTCCCTACCAAGTGACGCACATCCACAACATTAATAAATTATTTTGTATTACAGTGAAGATGTGATACTCACAATAATACATTTTGCTGTTGCAATGAAGCCCCTGAAAGAACAAAAAGGAAAGCTATTAGCCAACATTGAGAATGGGAATATGAAAGAAACTATAGAGGCCGGACTCAATTACTTGTTAGAAGGGATAAATACAAAGGAAACAATAAATAGTAACAAAGCGACTGTCAATTGCAAATGTTTTTTGGCACACGTGCAAATATATCAACTAGTATAAGGGAATGAGAGCATTTAGTATCTATTTTAAAGAGCTGAAACAGGCAATGATGAAACAGGATTCTATGATTCTATTGTTTTGTGCACTTTATTTTAAGAACTGTAAAAAAACGTTTTTCCAATTAAGATTGCATTGAAGAAATTTCTAAAATTTCCTATTATCTTAAATTTTCTTAGGAAAAGTGTATAAAATAAACAGTGACAAGAAATGTCTATTTGATTTTTATATTCCAGAGAAGCTTTTGCATATTAGAGAATGAAACATATTTTCGGTGAAATTCCAGTGGTCGATGAATTCCACTCATTACAATTGTATGAAAATGCCTTGGGGCATCATCTCAATGTGAAAGGCACTGTACAAATGTAATCTGGTTATTGTTAAAACTTGTTATTGAATCGGCTTCTGCCACCATTTCTGGCAATGCATTCCAGATCTGAACAACTCGCTGTGTGAAAAAAATTCTCCTCCCCTTTGCTTCTTTTAACAACTATTTGGAGTCCTGCAGCTCCAAATAGTCCTGCAGCTCAGTGGTTAGAGCACTCGCTTTGCAAGCGAGAGACCTGAGGTCAATTCCAGGCAGAGGGCGAAACCTTGGGCAAGTTTCCTTACTCCACACAGAGCCTAATAATAATCCCTCCAAAACCAAAAATAATAATAAATTGGTCATTTTCAATCTACGACTGTTTGTGGGACATTGCTGTGCGCAATTGGCTGCCGCGTTCGCCCACAAATATACAGTCAATTCACACAGTGTGTTCTGTGAAGCGCTTTGGGACATCCTCCTGACGTGAAAAGCGCTCTATCAAATGCAAGGATTATTATTATTATTATTTTAAATCGGTGTCCTCGGGTTACCAATCCACTCGCCAGTGGACGTTAGTTTAAATTCACAAGTTTGACAGAGAAATAATTTAAGGGAAATAATTTAAGTTCAAAGCTAAAAGAAAAGTATGTTTCCCTGTCATAATCAAGTATGAAAACCATAAACCTAATAATATTGCTTTTATTTCCCTCATCCATTTAATGTATCCGTAAATCATTACCCTTCCGCATAGAAACACTATTTTGGAAAACTAGGGCAAATGGCATGATATGGAGGCAAACCAAACATGTGAAGTCCAGGGATCACACTCTAGTCTCTCCAGCTCCAGTATACACAAAATCTAACTGATACAAAACTCTGCCACCTATATACTCACCCGCTCTAAACTCCATACCCCCCATTACATTAGTGCTCACCAGGCTCCCTATCACAGAAATGGTTCAACTTCAAGATCCTTACACTCGTCTACACATCCCTTCATGCCCTGGCACCTCCCTACCTCTCCAACCTGCTTACTCCCCAATCCACCGCCTCTGCTTGGCCGGCTCTCAGACAGCTGCTACAACACCCCCCCCACCCCCCCAACACACACAAAGAATGACTCCTTTTATTTTACAGATACACTAAAGCAGCAGGACATGCGTGGGAACCTCTCGTAATGACATCATTGGGTAAATGAGGGCAACGTGTGGTAGGGAAACGTAAACAAAATGGTAAAACTGTTAAGAATAAAATACAACAACAACTTGCATTTATATAAATCTGTTTCCGTAATAGATTTCACCCCTTCTCTTCCGAATATAATTTGATCCGTCTTTCCTTCTTCTCCAAGGGTATGTATAATTTTTACAAATCCTCATTTTTTCCTCAATTTCCTTTACGGCCTAGTCCTACCATACTTCTGTGATCTACCCTCCCCCCCACATGGGCATTAAGCCACTTTAAACCCTGCCCTCTGGAACTCTCCTAAGATCCCTCCACCTCATTCCCTCTCTTGCTTTGCTTTCAAAACCTGTCTAAAGACATATCTCTTTGATTAAGAATTTAGTCATCTGCCCCCTCCTCGCTTAGGTTTCGCTCCTTCTTTCTAAAGTGCTTTGCGCTGTTCTCTGCAATTGGAATCTGCTATATAAGTGCAAACTGTTGATGCTGGTTTGAGCAGGTAGCAAATTAATATTGTCGAAATGATCACTCTGTGTTAGTTGTGTGTGAGTTTAACAGCAAATTATAACAGGTTGTTCAACTATGAAAGCATTGCATCCAAGCCCAATCTTATACTCACTTGACAACAACACAATTTGTATATTGCCTTTCATGTTGGGAGGACATTTCAAGGTGCTGGACTGTCAGGGATTTGGACCTGAGCAGGGGATTGGGATCAAGAAGGATGGAGGGCAGGGCGGGTATGGGTAGAAGGATGGCCAAAGGCATGGTCGAAGAGGAGGGTCTTAGACGCACCTTGAAGGAGGTAAGGGAGGGAAGTATCAAGGCGAAGGGAATGTAGGATGGCGGTCGAAAGGGTGGGGGCAGAGAGGCTGAAGGCTCTCTGGGGTTTGAGCGACCAAATTATCTAATCATTTATCTATTTACATTAAAATGCACAATAAAAGTAACAGATATGTCAACTAAAATTAACTGATAACTAAAAGGCTGATAACAGATATTCCCACAAACAGTGAGCTACATTGGAAGCATTTACTGAAGATGTTTCTTATCAGGATTTTTTGGAAAAATTCCCGTTAACCTCAAATCTCAACAGTACAGTAGAGTGCATTGTAATGGAGATGGGGCAACATTTCCATTTTCACTGAGATGACCATCAGAGTGTGACCTGTAACTTGGATAATATTTCAACATGTGTAATGTGTGGTGTAACATGTACAAAATGATTTGCCTACCTAAAAAATTATCGGCTTGATCTAGATTTTATTTTTCCACGCTTAAATATTTCTACAATGTAACCTCAATACCAAATCCTTTGGGCATCTTAGCTGCTTATTTCTGATTAATGATAAATCAGCATGGTAGTCATTGAGACCCCAACTACCAGCACCTCGATTCCCTGGATCCCTGGATCGACTGTTTGTGGGACACTGTTGTGCGCAATTGGCTGCCGCGTTTCGCCCACAAATATAGTCAATTCACTTTACAGCATATTCTGTGAAGCGCTTTGAGACGTCTGGAAGACGTGAAAAGCGCCATATCAAATGCAAGGATTATTATTATTATTATTATTATTACCAAAGCTGATCTTCAAGATTCCAACAGAAGACTGCAATACATTTATACCTCTCAGCTCAGTTGGAAGTGATCTTGTCAGAAGGTTGAGGATTCAAGCCACACTTTGGGACTTTGAATTCACAGTCTAGGCTGACCATCCAATGCAATGATGGGAGAGCTCTGCATTGTCAGAGGTGCCAATCTTTCGACAGGACATTAAACCTGCCTGTTCAACTGGAATGCATTGCCTGAAAGGGTGGTGGAGGCCGATTCGATAACTACTTTTAAAAACGCGATGGACGGGTATTTGAGGAGGACGGGTTTGCAGGGTTATGGGGAAAGGGCTGAGGAGTGGGATTGACATTACATTGCTCTTTTCAAAGAGCCGGCACAAACTCGATGGGCCAAATGGCCTCTTTTTGAGCTGTACGATTCTATGATTCTAAGTGTTAAAATCCTGTGGCACTATTTGAAAAGTGAAGAGAGTTTCTCCTGGTATCCTGGCCTCATCAAATAAAATCGGTCATTCACTTCATGTTTGTGGGACTTTGCCATGCACAAATGGGCTGCTGCTTTTGCCTATATCATATGCAGTCACTACACTTGCCATGAAATATTGCCAAACACTTTGAGGCAACCTCTTGAAGTGAAAGATTCTATAGAATGCTATTACATTGATACATGAGAATGTTACATCAAACGTAAAGATTATTATCATTACATCCTAAAAGTGCCTGAAACAAGACAAAGAAAAATTATTATTGATCCGATAACCAACAGTAAAATACAACATCAATGATCATTGTGTAATTATTTAGGTGAACTTTACCTTTACCTTGCAGTGGTTAACTGTTAAATAGAGTTTGTTGCCATATTATCGATTTAATAATTATTATTATTATATTCCTTCTCATTCCAAGATATCCAAATTGGAATCATCAGCTTTAGTCTGCTCGAATATATCTTTACCACTTTCTGTCTGTAATCTGAAGCTAAAAGACATTTCATAACATTTAATAGTGGCTGGTGGCCTCTGGAATCTGTCATAATAATAAAAAGAAGAATCATGGCATTTGATATTGCATCTTATCACATCTTCAATACGTCTCAAAGTGTGTCACAAAATATACTGTGATGGGAATTGACTGGGTATTTTGTGGGTGCAAAGAGATTCATTTGCCAACAGCAACATCCTTTACTTGTTAAACACAATTATTCACCACAACTTTTTTTTAAAAAATCCAATATATGAAGTTAGCACAAAACATTAAAACTCCCTGAAATAGTTAGAGCTACAGTTAGAGGTATCACAGCATAAACATTTGACCAGAACATTTCAATAAAAAATTTTTTTTGCGTGTTATAGAATATAAACTACCTGAGAGCACCTGAGTCCACATTCAGTGATGTTTTCAAGAGCCCGACTAGAAGAGACGAGAAAGCCCAGAATCACTGTGAGGCAGCTGAGATCACAGCAGCTGTCCCTATGCATTGTGACTGTCACTTTAAAACAACAAATGGATGAATATAACTACGATGAAAGCAAAGAAGGCACTGATGCTGGTAACAGTTGCACTAACACTATAACAAGTTGACACTGAGTGTGCGAGTTACAAAGCACTTAAAGATGCTGCGACCTGATTGCCTCAAGCCTGCCTCTCTCACTCTGCCTGACTGGCTGTTGTGGCCACTTCACCAGCAGATGCAGATTTAAATAGCTGGTGCAAAGCAAAGGTTCCGCCTACCGGCCTACCGGCCTCCCCTACAAATGCAAACACCGCCTTTCTGGAAAACCCTGCACGTGTGATTAGTTCTTGGAACTGGATTCATGCTTATGGCAGTGATTGCTACAGACTGTATATTGTCTGAACATGCTATTGATATGCAGCTTATGGTAGCTGCATATTCACCCTTACGGCAGTGATCATTACAGACTCTATATTGTCTGAACATGCTGTCACTGAAACGCAGCTGCCACTCTTCTGCCAAATCCAACAATTTGTCTTGTGACTTAAAAGGTGGCATCAGGAATCATTTTTACCCAACAATTTGTACCGGAAATTAAGCAAAGTGACAGCTGATCCACGGTTTCTCAATTTCTCTTCTGCTCTAACTGAAAATGAATTTTATCAACCGGTTATGTTACCTACAACGTAGGTTGCTTAGCAAGAGTATAGAGTGCAATGAAAGTTATACATAAAACGGGTTGCAGACCTGTTAATGTGCCTAAACGTGTGCACAATCTGTGCAGTGAAGGAATGTACCATAAACAACGGAATGTTTTTGTATCGGAGAAACAGGGAAAAATGTAACAGCAGATGTTGTACGTTGTGTTTGTTTGGGATTTCTGTTGTACCAAATATAATATTTATAAATAAATACATATTTTCAAAAAAAAATACCTGTGAGTCTTACAACTGAAATCAATGGAGTCCTGTAGCTCAGTGGTTAGAGCACTCGCCTCGCAAGCAAGAGGACCTGGGTTTGATTTCCAGGCAGGGTGAAATGTTAGGCAAGTTTCCTTAACCCACGCGCCTCTGCTTAGATAGCAGTAAGTAAGAACCCGGTCGTTAGTCAATTGGCAGCTCACTTTTCCGGGGGTAATAATTTTTTTTCAATATTTTTTTCCAAAAAATATATAATTTGGTCACTCAATCCATGACTGTTCGTGTGACACTACTGTGCGCAATTGGCTGCTGCATTACGCCCACAAAATGTACCGTCAATTCACTTTACAGTATATTCTGTGAAGAGCTTTGAGACGTCTCGAAGATGTGAAAAGCGCTATATCAAATGCAAGGATTATTATATTATTTATATAGCACTGTCAGTGGGCTGAGGTAAATACAGTATAAGGTAGCCAGTCATTCAACTGAAAGGGATTTTGAGAGCAGCTTCCTTTTTGCAGAGGGTGGGAAGAATGCAAAACTCACTATGATTGAAGCAGAAAGCATCAACGGTTTTAAGAGAAAACTTGATGTCTGTAGAAGTCAATAAAGGGGTGCAGGAGAGGGAAAAGAAGGCGCGGAGGCCTGATGCGGAGTATAAACACCCAAAAGCGCCAAGTGTACCTTATCAGGGTGTGTGCAGACGCGCACATGGATGTAGTGCAAACAGGGGTGACCCCCGACTGTTTTAAAGAGAATGTCCCAAAAAAACGTGTGCACAACCTGTGCAGTGAAGGAATGTACCATAAACAACGGAATGTTTTTGTATCGGGGAAACAGGGAAAAATGTAACAGAAGATGTTGCACGTTGTGTTTGTTTGGGATTTCTGTTGTACCAAATATAATATTTATAAATAAATACATATTTTCAAAAAAAATAAACACCTAAAAATGTATGCAAAACCTGCGTGCTATGAATCTGCCTGCAGTCCCCACGAAGAGGGGAGGGACAGGGAGAGGGGGGTACGCGACCCTATTTGTAACTGCGCCCTGCAAACGCCTTGGTCCCTTCACTAAAGTGGAGTGTGCAGAACACCCACCCCCACCCACACCCCACACCCCCACCCCGCCGCCACAAGGGGTTGGTATCTGTTGCGTACTGTAACGAGTTTGATATTGTTTGAGACAAGCGTAAATATATATCCACAAATAAATTTATATACTTTGTTTAAATAAAATTAAAAATAAATAAATAAACATCATGTGGCTCATGTTGGCTCAAATGACTTATTTTCAGGCAGTAGTGTTTTATGTGATTCTAGGTAATACCCCTAAATAACCAAGTCTCAAGCAAAACCTTTGAACCGATGTATTGGAGTCCTGTAGCTCAGTGATTCGAGCACTCGCCTCGCAAGCGAGAGACCTGGGCTCGATTCCTGGCGAAACCTTGGGCAAGTTTACTTACTCCACACGCCTGATAATAATCCATCAAGAAAACAAACAATAAAAATTTGGTCACTCAATCCATGACTGTTTGTGGGACACTGCTGTGCGCAATTCGCTGCCAAGTTTCGCCCACAAATATACAGTCAATTCACTTTACAGTATATTCTGTGAAGTGCTTAGCAAATGTGAAAAGCGCTATATCAAATGCAAGGATTATTTTTATTATTATTACAGTAACTCTTTCCTCACTGATCTCAATCTATTCAAGTGCCAAGAACAGAACTCCCAACACTGTTTTACTCCACGCACAACATTGACAGCACCTAAGCCTCTTGATTTTCTTTACCAAGATGCCGCAAGATATAATCTACCAGTTTCTGGTCACGTATGATCATAATCAAAACCAATGTTACATTGGTGATCTCCCACAGATTCAAACTTACACAAGCATGTGATTTATGGAGTTATTTGCTACATGATGCAAGACTGAGTCACAGAGGCATTGAAGCGACCAAGATTTCTTGCTTGCTACAAGTGATCTTAGCTCAGCTGTAAAATTATAATTGCCCTGCCGATCAATGGACAAGAATGTGTGCGGGTGGGGTAAACAAATAACCAACTAAATTAACTTGAAAGATTTACACTTGCCAGCCTCACGAATGAAGAAGAGCCATGTGATGAGGAAGGAAACACTATCCAAAGTGTAACTATCTAAGCGTCCAAAATCAATAACAGCTGCTTGCTCCACGCAACACACACACACAACACACACAGAGTTATGGAAACCGATTCCTTAATAGACCATTGTTCGTTTATGGGCCATACATCACTGCTATAAACTGAGTCCATTGTTGAACAAACTCAGAACAAAGTGCACCTTCAACCAGTTTTAACTATTGCAGCAACAACCTGCACTTATATCGTGCCCTTCACATTAGGTAGCACCTCAGAGCGCCTAATGCTTAACAGTGGCGAGGGAGGAGGTGATCATAGGCATTGTCTAAGAGGAAGGTCTTCAGGAAGCTCTTCAAAGGAACGTTTGAAGATATTGCACAGGAATTTCTATGTATAGGTGGGATGCGTGGAACTCTGTTTGGTCTGGATACATTTAAGCATAGTAATGGGTTACCATATGTAGTACCTTGCTGCCCACCCTACACCCAAAAATGCAACCTTAGGCATAGCTTTAATTTTGAGTAACAGTAATGGATGGTAGGTAATAACTGTGAATTAGAATTTAGGATATATTAGTATTGTAAAATATTGATGCAGGAAGCAGCAAATAATGTATCTTTGCAAAATCAGCTTCGTTGTGTTAAACGTGACAATCAGTTTGCAAAGATCAGATTTCAGGATAAGGGTGGTGGAGTGTGCAGCATGTTTATCACAAGTCCACAAACTCTGAATAAAGCCCAGCAAGCCAAACACTGTAACAAACAGTCAACACTTTGTTTGGCGTTTTACAAACTTTACTGACTTGGGAATCGTGACTTGCTGTCTGTGAATTCCAAAAACCTAAAGTTGCAATTATGGGAATTAATCAGGTTTAAAATATCATGAAATGGACCACATTATATTTGTGTATTTATAGATATTACTACATGCAGTGGAATGCCATGTAACCACATGGATTATGCTTATGTCTGATTATCTGCATTGGGCACCAAAATAATGATACCTGCATGGATGTTACCAGGTTTGCGATTTACCTGAACAGAATGGGGAATAACAATAACAACGACATCTTGCATTGATATAGCACCTTTCACGGACGCCAGACAGCATTTCAGAGTGCTTAACAGTGACGGAGCCTGATGCCAAGCCAGGGGGAGGGTGAATGTGACTGTAGGCACGGTCTTCAAGCGTGACCTGAAAATGGGGAGAGAGGGGGCAAGGAGAAGGGATTGAGGGAGAGAGTTCCAAAGCTTTGGGGTGTAGTGGCTGAAAGTATGGCCACTTCGGTGGGGCGGAGGGTCCAGGGGCAAGGAGGCGGCCACAGCCAGTCAAGAGGAGGCCGCGGGTACCAGTGCAGGAGAGAGCACCTTGGAGAGATGGGGGGGGGTGCCAGGGCATGAAGGGATTTAAATACAAGAGTGAGGATCATGAATACGATCCGCTGTGTAGCGGAGCGAACGCAGTTTGACAATGTCTGGGAGGTTCAGTGAGGGTGAGAATATGGGTAGCGGAGTTTTGTATTAGTGGAATTTTGTGAATAGTGGAGCAGGGGAGACCAGCGAGGAGGGTGTTTGAGTAGTCGAAGTGAGTAGTAAAGTTGGTTAAGTTAAAAATTATAATAATAAATAATCCTAGCATTTGATATAGTGCCTTATCACGTCTTCGAGATGTCTCAAAGCGCTTCACAGAATATACTGTAATGTGAATTGACTGTATTTTATGGGCAAAACGCGGCAGTCAATTGCACACAGCAGTGTTCCACAAACAATCTTGGATTGAGTGACCAAACTATTATTTTTTTTAAATATTATTTTTTGAAAGGGTTATTACCCCCAGAAAAGTGATTCGCCGCTCAACTAACAATGGGGTTCCTACTTACGTCTAGGTAAGCAGAGACGTGTGGAGTAAGGAAACTTGCCTAACATTCTGCCCTGCTCAGCGTATGTTGAATGTGGCAGCAATGCTTTCGTTTTAAGTGTTTCACTTTCACAATCCAATTCTTACTGAGCTAAATCTGTGGTGTGAAACATAACGTTGGGATGTATTTAATAATAATAATAATCCTTGTATTTGATATAGC